GAAGACAAGGGTGAGTCCCAGCTGGGAGCTGTCTACCTTGGAGCTTGTTAGCATGGTTTGGTCCCTCTCAGGAAGGCAAGCCCAGCCCAGGCAGTACAGCACAAGCAGAGACTACTCTAGCAGTAGCACAACACCAAAAGATCTTATGACTCTCCCCTCAGCTGGGTGATGCTCAGAGGCGAGCTTCTCCTCCCCGCAAAGGATGCTTTAGCAACATTTTCCGGCGGCCCCTGCATTAGTCTGGATACCTTGCACCAGCCCCTCCTTCCATGGCCTGCACTGGGAGTGAAGCAGTCTGCCGGACCGCTGAGCCCCAGTCTCCTCTGCTCCAGCTAGCTTCTGGTGGCATCTCTCGTATGCAGAGAGGAACGTGCGAGACACTTTCCTGGAGGAGATGACAAGGAGCAGAGAGAGTGCATTGGTAAATAACTGCGCTGCAGAACTCCCGGGTGCAGGATGACAGATGCCTGTGCAAGTTCAAGAGGAGACCAGACCGGTTAGCTGCGGGGAAACCCAGTGGGGAGTTTTAAACATACAGAAACTGTGCGCAATTCAAGGGACCGGAACGCTTGCCCTGTTCTCATAGCCTTTCCTGGGCTCCCAGTAGCCACCCTTGTCAGAGGGAGGAGGTAGCCTGCAGTCCGGCCCTGGATGTCTGCTCTTACGTTCTCCCTGTTCCTGCCTGGAAGGAAGGGAAATGATATCACCTTTGCCTTCAGCACCCATGCCACCCTGGGGACACTGAGAAGCGTCCATGGTTTGGGCTTCTGCTAACAGCTGCTATCAGCTAGAAAATCTGCAAGTGGGAAGGCTGCAACTGCTTATCTGTGAAGTACGAAATCTTTGTCACGTCAGGTTTTCCTTGAAGCTCCAACTGCTGCAGTCTTTGCACGACAATGGCAGCATTTAGTTTAAAAATGGGGTTTGCCCTGTGGCACTGGGGGCAGATAGGAAAGTAAATTTACTGGCAGTGAGGGCAGCAAGGACACAGCAGCCCCATTTCGTCACAGCCAAGGAAGGAACCGCTGTTGGGGCAAGTGCATAGAATCCTAGAATTGTAGAATCCTAGAATTGTAGAATCATAGAATTGTAGAATCCTAGAATGTTTTGGGTTGGAAGGGACCCCTAGAGGTCACCCAGCCCAACCCCCCCTGCAGGAGCAGGGACACCTTGAACCACATCAGGTTGCTCACAGCCCCGTCCAACCTGGCCTTGGATGTTCCCAGGGATGGGGCCTCAACCCCCTCCCTGGGCAACCCCTGCCAGGGTTTCACATAGACGTGCCCATCTTCCACCTTGTGGTGGAGCCACGCACTGGTGCCAGTTGGGAGGCAAGGGGACATCCTGGGGGCTGGGGGAAGCATGTTCAGTGATTTGCCACCAGACCTTCCTCCAGCACCGTCCCTCTCACCCTGAGCTGGAGGAGGAGGAGGTGCAGCTGCCGCAGGGCCTGGTCCAGGGAAGACAGATCCCCACCATGCACCGCAGAAAGGCACCTGGCACTTGTTTGGCATTTAAAAATCACTGCCTGCCAGGGTGGGGGCAGCACTGGCTGTGGCACACTTGGACATGACCCTTCCCAGAGGAGCAAGACCAGCTTCAGGGAGATGTGCCATCAGGTTATCTCTACCTGGTGAAGGGGCAGAACCCCACACCTGCAGCCTTCATCTCCATCCACTCTCAATGCATCAGAAGGAAAGTTAGCCCCTGCCCCAGGGTCACAGAATCCCAAGGGTTGGAAGGGACCTCGGGAGCTCACCCAGTCCAACCCCCCTGCTCAAGCAGGCTCTCCTAGAGCATGTTACACAGGACTTCGTCCAGGCGGGCTTTGAATATCTCCAGAGAAGGAGACTCCACAACCCCCCTGGGCAGCCTGTTCCAGTGCTCTGTCACCCTCAGAGTAAAGAAGTTTTTCCTCATACTCAACTGAAACCTTTTATGTTTCGGTTTGTGCCCATTGCCCCTTGTCCTGGTGCTGGACAAGGGGCTGGACAAGGGTCGAGGATGCATGCTCCTGTCTCATATACATCTTCTCTCACATTGGCCAGTAAGAGACAGCAAGCTCTCCAATCTAACAGTGGACAGTCACATCTGAAAAGAAATACCCAAAATGGTGCCTTGTGCTGTACAAAGCAAAGCCCCAAGTCAGCAGCTAGTCCAGAACAGAGACCTCATGGCAACACCAGTAGTCCCGCTGCTGTGGGCCACGCGCGTGAAGCTGCTCTAACAACTTCTCGCCCTCGCATAGCCATGACCAGTGTGGTGTTATAAATGCACTCACACCAATTTTGCTTTATTAGCCAGGACCACACCTACTGAGAAAGAGCAGGAGGGTCCTCAACTGTCACTGCACGGTCTTTGGAACAGGTTCACCAAGTGAAAGAAATCTTGTTCTTGCAAGGCTCATGATAAAAATCAAGAGATTTTGCAAGTGCACAACAGCAAATATGAGCTGCAAGGGAAGAGCCCACTGGCAGGCAGTGGTGATGGTGGGTACGCTCCCTGTAGCTTCCAGCTCAAAGGCAATGGCATAAAACTGGCTCTGAGTTTAGAAGGACATCAGATACCCCAGATCAGGCCCATGATGAAGGTGGGTTGATGCCGAAGGCTAAGGCTGACTGAATTCCCCTCTCAGATCGCTGAGGCATGCAATTTGCACATAGATTAATCAGATGAGTCTGATTTCTGTGGTTTCCTGGAGTCTAGACTCAGGCTATAAAACCTTGCTGGGAGCAAGAAGAGACCCCAGCTGCAGCCTCACCTCCAAGGGATCTACTGAAGCAGAGAACGCTATGATGAAGCACCTGCAGAAACTCCTGCTCTCCCTCCTGCTGGTGACATGCCTCCCAGCCAACGCCAGTAAGTAGAGCAGCCCAGAGGCGGGGAGAGGGCTGGGGAAGGAAGAGTCCCAGACAGGGCACCCTGTGTCCTCCGATCCCCTCATCCTCAGTCCCATTCACTGCAGATTATTCCTGGAATCGGAGGGAGGGAGGAGGTGGAGCAGCCCACTCCACACCCTACATGGCCTATCTGCAAGGAAAGAACAACCAATTCTGCGGCGGCTTCCTAGTGGCCCCAAACTGGGTGATGACAGCAGCTCAGTGCTTCATGTAAGTTTTTGCTATGTTCGTACAGCACCTGGCGCAACAAGGTTGTCGCACTGCCATGATCCGGGTAACATCTCCTAGAAGGAGGTCAAACAGTCTGAACTAATTCCTTCATGGCTGTAGCCAAACCCTTCCCCTAGCAGGGAGCACAGGCTGCACCGCTGGGACAGGGCAAGGCAGTGGGGTCTAGCACTGGAACAGCAGGGGTCTGTCTGGAGCTCTGCCCTGAGCCATCCTTCCCCATGTCCCTCCCCAGACCATGTTCAGATCCTTACTTTGAATTTTTTTTATTCCCCCTCCATTTTATTCTTCCCAGTTGCCAGCAATGAGAAGTCAGACCGGCTTCTTCCCTTGCTGTCACTGACATTCTGGCATAGCGGGGATTGCTGGTGGTCTTTGGTCTTTCTGCCACTGAAGACCTTCAAGACCCTTATCAGAATTAATATCTTATGAGCAAGGTGCTGGCCCAGCTCTTTTCCACCCCTCCAGCTGGAGAGACAGGGCATGGAGCAGCAAGAGGGCTTTTCTAGATGTGTGTGACTGGGCGTAGCTACTACACCTCAGGGCTGGCAGCTCTGCCCCGGTGCCAGTAACCCAGGCCCAGGGCATCCGAGCAGCAGAAGTGAGGACCAGCAGAAGCCAGGAGCCTGGATGCCCAAATCCCACCTGCTAGATTGAGAGGGACTCCCCCCTGTACCCAGGGTCCCTCCCAATTTTCCTAAGGCAGCCCCTTCTGCAGATGACGTAGAGGCCAGTAAAGGTACATTAGCCCAGAGCATGGCCCTGATTCAGAAATCCCTTCTAGGTGCCATGGAGTTCCATGAGCCTACAAAGCCTGGATGAACAGTCCACACATCTTAGTACACAGCACTGGACCAAATCCGCTCAGCTCGAGATCCAGAGGGAGTGTAACTTGCAGAGCTCCAGTCTGTTGGATGGGAACTTGCTCTGCCTCTTGGCTGGGTAGATTCACTGGCAGAGCTCTTTGCTCCCACCATTCTTTAAAGCCCAAACAGTCTCTCCCGGCCATGCCGCTGAGAGATGTGCCTCAGTGTTACCAGGGAAGGCAGGAGGAAGGTAATGACATACACCATGTTTGATTTTACCAGACACAAACCTCTGACTGTCATCCTTGGAGCCCACACAATCCAGAGGAGAGAGGAAAGCTGGCAAATATTCGAAGTCCAAGAGTATCACTGCCACCCAGACTACACGAGTCCTAAGAAGGGAAACGACATCCTCTTGCTGAAGGTAATTACCTGCCTGGAGCACCTACGTGGTCTGATCTGCTTGGTGTGCAAGGCTGAGCTGTAACCCTGGAGCAGGGGGGCACAGCCGTTGTCACAGACCAAGCACTTATTTCTTTATTTTCTGTCCCTTTGCCCAGCTGAAAGGCAATGCCACCAGCAACAGCTATGTTAGGACCATTGCCTTTGAAAAATCAAAAGTCCCTGGTGGGACCACATGCAGCATAGCCAGCTGGGGCTACAAAACACCCACTGCCACACTATGCAAAGCCACTGTCACCATCATGGGACGAAGGGACTGCCTCAGCCACTACCCAGGACTTGCAGACAACTTGATTTGTGGCAACAGTGCATCTGCTTGGGTACCTGAAAAGGTCAGTCTCTGACTTCGGGAGTAGAAGGCTGCAGGGGAGGTTTCAGCCAGGTGCTGGGCACAAACCTGATCTAAGCTAAAAAACTTCACTGAAAAGGTACTGTCTAAAATTGCTTCTTGTTGTCCCCTCACTTCCCCCCACCCCCATCACTCCATGCTTCCTCACCAGCATCCCTCTCCCTCGCTGAACTGGGCACAGGAGGTGCCCCGGGTCTCCAAGCATCAGATCCCCAGAGGGTCAGCAGCATTCCCGCTGGCTGCAGGCATCACGCTTGTGCTCAGCCCTGGGCCAAGCAGAAGGGATGGGGGGATCCTCGTCTTCCCCCAGCAGAGGGCCTAGGAGTCTGCAACAGCACAACAAGACAACAGCTTGGCCAAAGAGAGGTTTGCCCCAAACCTCGTAGGTGGTCTGAGGGCGTTTTGCAGTGCTCTGCAGCCAGCAGAAGGGCAGAAAGGAAGCGACAGCTTAAGCGCCAGCGTTTGCCCAGCTGTAGTGTGCCGAGTCCCGTGCTGGGTCCCAGACAAAATTGCAGTTGTTCCCTTTTGGACCCAGAGCTATCCACAACCATTGCATGTCCAAGTTTCTCCTGCAGAAGCTCTGTCCTGGTATTTGCAGCCTCCCTTTGCAAATGCACCCTTTTCCTGGGGACCCCACATAAATCAGTGCTGATCTCTCTCCTCCTCTGTTTTACAGGGTGATGCTGGGGACCCACTCGTCTGCAACAACAAAGCGTACGGCATCTTCTCCTACAGGCATAACAAATGGCCCGGCTTCTACACACACATTGCTCCTTACCTTCCCTGGGTCAACAGTGTCATGAAGTCAGCATGACCCTACTCCCCCCCCAGCCGCTGCCCTGGAAAACGCACACTTCAGGGCCCCACCCTCACCTGCTTTTTCTTCCTTTCTCCCTGGGGAACATCTTCCACTGGTCCTCATGGACACGGCAAGGACTTCTCTCTCGCAAGGCCAAATTATGGCAGCGGGGGGGCTTGGCACCGACATTGCGGCTCGGCCGCGTTTGTTCCCTGTGCAAGCTGGGGAGCGCCCACTGACACAGCGCGTGCTCCCACGCTTCGCTGCTCTGGTTTACCCCTTCGTCAAGCTGCTTGTGGTTACAGCTCTAGAAAGGAAGCAGCAAGGCAGCCCTGAGTGAGGCGACGGGAGCTGCGGGGATGTCTGCTGCCCTTTGGGGAAGGCAGCACAATTAGATTGGGGGGGAATCCAAAGAGCAGCCTCCTCCCTGTCCCTTGTGTTTGTGACCCCTGGGTCTCATTGCCCGAGCCCTGGGGTTAGAGGATTGCCCCAGTTCCAAGGAAGACAGCTTGAGCTCCTGCTTCACTGCTGCTGCTGCCGTCCCCTACCTCTGAAACCTGCTGCCTCCTTTCTCCCCTCTTGCTCTACCTTCAGGGTTGCAAGAATACATAAAACCAATAAATTGCATCTGCATTTGAGAGCCTTTTTCCTGCTATGATTTGGATTTCTCTCAGCTGTTGGCTCCAGTCCTCAAGAGCTCAGAAGAAAGACACTGCTCAATCCCAAGCTGGAAGTTTCTACCCTAGCCAACGGCCTCCCACCTAAACCCCCAGAATGGGTGTCAAGCCTGGTTTTCAGGGCACGGGAAACCTCTTGGCCTCCTCTCCCCAGCACGGAGTGCTCAGGGAGAAGTGAGAAAGATGGTACCCAGTGATGCCCTGGCAGGAGATGGTCTTA